TCATCAATTTTAAGAATAAAATCCAAAAAACCAAGAAATACAAATGCAGCTGGTGTTTCACCGGGATGTACACGACTTGAAAGAAAAAAAATACGTTTATTACGAAATTGATATGGACGTTTATTTATTGTTGATGCATCAGGAAATAATTTTTTATCAAAATGATGTTCACGTTCTTTCGTTATACCTAGAATTAAAATATATACTATCAAAAAAAAAAAAAAAATTTCTTTTACTAACGACTCAGAATTCAAAAAACGCTTGATCAATTGAAAAACATTCTCTCATAAAAACTAGTATGAATTATAATATTGTTTTAAGGAAAAAGTATCAATTTTATTACTCAGAACTGATTTATGTTTAATCAGTTGAGATTGATTACCTTTATAAGAAGTTATTGTAATTAAATCAATTTTATTTGAATCACATGAATAACATAATGTTTCACGATGATAATAAATATCTGAATTATTTACTGGTAATGATGGATGTTCTAAATAATAATCAGCTAAACGTGAATTATATAAATTATCATATGTATTAAGTAATTGTTGCATATCTTCATATGAATGTGGAAAACAAAAAGCAAAATAAGTTATAGAATTTTTTAAATCAGCCATACGATGAACAAATGATAATTTAAAATCTTCATTAATTGTTTCCCAACAAGGACGTATATATATTCTTGACCATTTTTCATGTCCAGGTACAGTTCGAAAAACTGGTAACATACCCATTTCAAATAATTTACCTTGTCGATTTAAATTCATTATATTAAATCGAATACATTTTCCATAACCACCTTTAACACCAAAATAAAACCATGAACGATTTCCATTTATTCGAGGTGTTCCTTCACAATCACGTTTTGTCCAAACATTAAATTCAATATCATGTTTTGGTAATGTATGACTTATAGTATTTAATCCATTATCTGCTCCAGAATTATTATTATTATTATTAGTAGTAGTAGTAGTAGTATTAGTATTTGTGTCTGTTTCAATTGGATTTGTTGATGGTTGAGAAGAAGATGTGGATGATGTTACACGTTCATATCGTAGTATATTGCCGGAATCAAAATTTGCAAATAATTGAATCGAAGAAGAAGAAGAAGAAGAGGAAGAATTAGTAGTACTAACATCGTTAGAATTCATTTTCTTTTTTATTTTTGTTTTCTATTAAGACAATGACAATATTCATAGTAGATCTTCCATCGTAGTGTTCTTTTTCTACGGAAACAACCTCTATTAATATTTAATTGAAATAAAACTTTTTAGTTTATTTTATATGTTTTTTTTCTAATTTGTTAAATTTAATAATAAAAATTCAAGAATATATTCTTTTCTTTCAATCATTGTTACAATAGAGGGCGATAGAAAACATCATTATACGCAGTTATATTTCAACAACCAACCAAAAGTGGGTGTGTCCCATATATATCATGTGATAATATTTTTGACATTAGGAATATCCTCTATTATAGATTTACTTTAGATATTAGTAAAGAAAAACAAACACAACAACAACATTTCTTTGATTTCTTATATGGCTTGTCGTTTTTCGATTAATTTCAATAAGAATTACATGTTAGGCAATTTCAAATCAATTTATAAGTCGTTATCATCATTAAAAAGTTTTCGTTGTTGTTAAAAAAAAAAACTAAAACAAATAATTTTTCGAAATGAAATTACTCGAAAATTCTAAATTAGAAGCAATTAGTTCAACACTTTCTATTGATACACTAGTTTGTGATATCACAACTCGGTAAATAAATAAAAAAAAATTCTTTTTGTTTTTTATTAAAAACTCATTTTTTGTTTTTCAATAAATTTAGTGTGGAAAGTTATTCATGTAAAATGGCTGGTGATCCAAAAAAATTATATAAACAATTAAGAAATGAACCTGGTACATCACCACATGATCTTGAAATTCTTGGACCATCACAAACAAAATTATCATCATCATATAATTCAAATTTTTTAACAACATCACCACAAATTTTACATCCATATCCAATAGCAAGATCAATATCAAGTGATGATGAATCACCATTAGTTAAAACAATTCCACGAAAAACACTTATTTTTTTAATATCAACATTAAATGCAACATTTCAACCTGATTATGAATTTAGTTCTTGTACAAGTCAAGATTTTAGTCGAGAAACTAATTTTGAAGTATATATATATATATCTCTAAAGAATAATTCATTTAAATTTTAATTATTATTTTATTCTTATTTAGTTAGTTAAAACTGAAGTAGATTCTCGATTTCTTTCAAGTATAGGTGATCATTATCGATCATTATCACCACAATTATGGTCAGTAATTGATGAAGAAATAAATATAAAAGAAAGTGAAATATTTAGGTAAAAATAAATCATATAAAAATAAATTTTATTCATTTTTCTTTTTCAAATAGTTATCGGCCTGATGATACATCAGATCCATTTTCTGAAAGTGGAATTATTTGGTCATTTAATTTCTTTTTTTATAATCGAAAACTTCGTCGAATTCTTTATCTTACATGTCGAGCTGATTGTAAAACATCAACAAATGATGATGATAATGATGATGAACCGTTAGAATCAAATAATTATGTAGCATTCGAAGGGTAAAAATTAATAAAAAAAACAAAATATCAAAAAAATTTTATTCACTTTTTTTTCAGTGTTATGGATTGATAATTCATCCGGTTCTGTACACAAAATATTATCTATACGCTATGAACTATTGATGCTTTTTTTTGTTCCTTCATATTAACTTTTTATAGTTTCTTTTCTATTTAGTTTGTTTTTCTCGCTTGTCCTTGTTTGTACATTATGTTCTCTATTGTTCATGCATTAAAACGAAATTGCATTGTTCTCGTCGTACATTAGCTTAGTATTCTTTTTTTTTTGTTATTCAGACATACAAGGTTGTATATAGTTGTCAAAATATTGAACAAAAAAAAAAAGTGTCCCTCGTTTCAAAAAAAGTTTATTATATGTTGTATGTAGATAGAATGTGAATAAATATAACTAAAAAAAGAAACAAATTTTGTAAAGTTATAATAGTTGAGAAGTATATGAAAAAGAATAAATACAAATGTGGAATTTAAGATACTTCAACAATTATGACTATCCGACTATCAATAGAGAGAAAAAAAACCAGTTCATCTAAATAAAGATATTCTTCTTGTTGAATCGATTGTCCACAAACAATATGAAAATAGATAAATCCAAGCAGATAACTGATTTGTTTAGAAGATGCATCCTTAGTAATAATAGTCTACGAAAACCAGAACAATATGGTTTTTTATCATCACTTATACTACGAAAAATGTTGAAGAGCTGATCATTATTGATACTCGCCTTTATCACCAATCTAATGGTATACTTATCCATTTTTTTTGGTGTTCTTTGTTTGTTGATCGTCATTGATATATTGAAATAGTTTCAATCGAAATAATTCAGTAATGAATGTACGTAATTGTTTGTTCTCTATTGAGATCAAGGATTATCAAAAGAAGATTTATGAAAAAAAAAAAATTAAGAAAGTAGTATCAATCAATATGTTTCTTTAGCATTTGTTGATCATAATTGAAGTGATGCGAACTAAATGGAAATTTTCTTCGTTATCAATATTGATTCTTTGATTTCATTCAATTTATTCGATTTTCTTGATGATATTAGTTATTTCAAACATTCATATTAATAAATGTTTTCCTCAAAATACACTATTTTTTGCATTGTTCAAATAACACCAATTGAAAACAATGATGATCAATACTGGGAAATAGAACTAGAGCTAACATCCCAATCGTCGTATCGTAAACGTCGAAATACGACATGTATACAATCAACGTGAACGATCGTACACGGCTACACATGGCGTAATATGCTACCATATTCATGTATGTTTTATTTTTTTATTTGAAAAAAGTACTTACTGTTTAACATGTTGTTCGAATTGATCTAAATAAAAAAATTAAAATTGTTTATTTCAAAAAAAAAACATATATATATATATACATCATTGTATTTGTTGCAGAATTCAAAACGAAAAAGTTCTGTGCTCGATACATGCAACTAGACTGACTATTAACTTACGATCGAATCCATTCGCATACTACAGTTGTTTACATTCATGGTATGCCATCGTGCATTTTGAATCTCGGTGATGGTAATGATCTGAACTTCATGCTCTCGCTGATCAAATGCAACAAAAAACTTAATGATTCATAGTATGACATCGACTTGGTCAAGTATGTCTTCAGTTAGGTAATCTATATTAATTTGAACAAGTATATGAAACTGTACTTGTTTTAGCATCTGAATGTGTTGATAAATGGCATTTTTATCATTAGCTTGGAATGATCAAACGATAGCAAAATGACTATATATCAACATTTTCATTTTACCAAGACTCAACTAAAATTTTTGAAAAAAAACACTTCAGAATAATAAATCCTGTTTAATTACTTCTTATAACAGTGTTGATTTAACAAGTTGAAAAATGAAATGAATATTGACCTGTATAAGAATTTAGAAAGACAAAATATTATTTGTAACGAAAGATAGTTATTTCGTAATAATGATCATTTATTGATTTTTTTTAGTTAATTTTATTACATTAAACTGCATTTAACCACATATATTTGACTATTTTTACTTATAATATTAGAAAAATAAACCGATATATTTCAATATTAAAAAGAGATATCATCTAAATTATTAAAAAAAAACACTTCATAACGATATTCTTCTTAGTACAAACTATTATTTTCTTGAGTTTCATCAAATAATTATATCAATAATCAATTCATTTCATTAGAATTCCATATATATTCAATTATGAATCAATCGATTAATCAGTAATCAACTATACATAATTTTATCTATGAAAAAAAAAGAAAACATTTCACTAAATCACAATTATTTAATATTACTTATAAAAAAGAAAAATACTAAATATAAAACGAATCACAAATTAAAATCTCATTGTCTTTTTCATTTCATTCAAGATGCTTCAGTACGCAAAAATATTCGATAGAGTAATTGAGGACATAAACGACGTAAATAAATCACAATAGATGCTAAATGACCAACATAGATTTCATGTTTTCTAGCAGCAATACCATGAAGTATATCATATGCACATACAGTTGGATCTGTTCCTTTTTCAGTTTTTGGATCCATTTTATTATGTAATTGTCCAGAACCTTCTAAAGCATTTATTGAAATATTGGTTTTGACAAAACCTGGACATACTATTGTTACATCTATATGATCTTTAGTATGTTCTAATCGAAGTGCATCAAAAAATGCATGTAAAGCATGTTTAGAAGCGGCATATGATGAACGTAATGATGTAGCAGCATAACCAGCTACTGATGTAACAACAACAAAATGACCTTTTTGACGTTGAATGAAATGCTAAAAAGAGATTTAATATTATTCACATCAAATTAAAACATGATTTTTTTTCTTCTTCTATGTACCGATAAAACAGCTTTAGTTAATGTAATTGTACCCAAAAAATTAATACTTATTAATCGTGTATCAACTGCATATTTTGTTTCTTTGATTAAACTTCGTTGTGATATACCAGCATTATTAATTAAAACATCAATCTGATTAAATCGATCAAGAACAATATCAACTTTTGATTGAAAACCATATTCATGTGTTTCAAGATCAAGGGGTAAAACAAGACATTGATCTGGATTAACTGGAAGTTCAGCAACAAGTGAATGTAATTCATCTTCACGTCTGGCTGATAGAACAAGACGAGTAGATGGTGAAAGACGAATTAATTCTTTTGCTAATGCACGGCCAATACCTGATGATGCACCTATATCATAGGAAAAGATAATAAGTTTAAAAAAAATATTCTTTACATCCGAAATCTGAGTACGAATATTTAATACGGCTTTTACTTCTATAAGTTATCTTTCGGGGAGATATGGGAATCGTCAAGGCTAAAAATGGTCAGAAGTTTCCCATACTAGAAGCATCGTCAAAAAAAAAACGTATTATTTTCAATGGTGCTAATTTTTTAAAGGCTGTCGAATTTCGTAGGAACAATATTTTGAAGAACAAAAACATGCGCGCGCTCCAATTCGACTAGAGTACTCATGGAAAATTTGAATCCGATCAGACGTACCATGTGGGAAAAAAGGAGGAAAACTTCGATTTTTCTTTGTTCAAAAATTGATTTTGAAAAAAAACCGGAAAACAAACGTTCCTGTACGTATCAAGACTTTTTTCTCCAGCAAAAGCGATCGAAAACTGACCGTGTTTAGTGGTGTCAGAAGTCCATGATCATGCTCTCAGCATCTTTGGAACAAAAAAAAAATACTCATCATGACTAGGAGAATTTTGTATATAAAAAATAATTGTAGCATGAGTTTTTCTGTTAGAGATTTTGAGAGTTGAATCTAATAAAAGTGCTAACGAACAATGAAGAGATCTCATTTATATGGCATATGGTACAGAACACTTCAAAGCTATATTAGCGATGAAAAACTAAAAATCCAAAAAATTTTCAATTGTAACATCGAGTAAATTTTCTGACGATGCAAAAAAAATTTATCGAATTTCAAACTTGCATTTTATTTATATATAATTACTTACTTACCAGTTATCCAAACAACGTTATTTTTAAAATAATTCTCAATATTATTATGTAAAGGATATATAAAATAAGCAATAATTGCGATAATACCCAAATAAAGAATAATTTGAAAGAAAATGTTTAGAAATTCGTTCATAGTTCTATAAATAAAAGAAAAACATGGATATATAATTATTTTTTTAATTTTTTAAATCGAAATGAATATTAAAAAAAATTAAAAGATGCCAAAAAAAAACAAGTTTATTATGAAAATTGTTAATATATGAAATCAAAAATATAAATATATGACATTCTGATATCATATCTCAATACTCAAAATTGACCTTTAAAAATTTTATGAATTTCATCATGTTAATTTTATGTAGAACCATTTCAATTAATTATTAATGAGAGAATTGAATCTATAATAATAAGAAAGAAAACTAAGTTACTTCTTCAAGAAGACAAAAAGATCGTTATTTTCAAAATTGAAAAGATACTTGTAGCTCAAATAAAGATTATTCGTACATTGAATTGTAACTTTGTTAATTGATGAATGAAATAAGAACTAAGATAAAAATTCTAATGTTTTATAGTTTACTTAATAATTCATTTTTAGTGGAGGGTAAAAACCACAAAACTTAAACGTGTTCGATTTGTTACATAAAACAGCCAGTGATTATCTAATTAAAAAATCTAGTTCATCATTTATATAGATACTTTAATTCGATGATATCTTATAGCTTTATTTGTGTACAGGAAAGAGCATCAACCTTGATATCCATTGTAATCAATACTATTTATCCATGGTTTTTTTTTTCTTTTTAAATTTTATCTTAACTAATACAAGCGCCCTCTTTCATATTGATTTAATGCAAATAGAAAAAAAAACTTGTCAACATTCTTCTTCAATACATTTTATTTTTTTAGTTCCATGTCATTGTTATCATTGTAAATTCAACGTTTTGAAGTGTATAAAAATGATAATGAATTTGATACAATTTTGATAACTAATTTTGCATTTTTTTTTCATAGCTTCTTGATATATCAGAACGAATGCATGTCAGTTTGTGAATTTGTTTAAACAAGTTTGAAAAAAAAGCGCTAATTTGATATATGATTTAAGCATGATGCAATTAAATTATGTATTTAGTGCATATTATGACGAGTCTTAATTTTGTTGTTCATATTAGACATAACTCCATCACTTGAGTCCCTGACTATTTTGTAACAATTTAAGAAGAAAATAGTTTTAACTGATCAATCGCTTTCTCATCAAAAACTACTCAATTGTAGGTAATTGTTCAAGTTAATATCGAAATATGGACGTGAGAATTCTTTCGTGTTATTCATTTCTTGATTTTCCAGATTAACACAACTTTTGTCCAGGTTATAGAGAATATTGAATTGTCTCTAAAACATTAACTTTTTTTTTGTATTAGAGCGGTATTTTTGCATGAAATATAGCCATTAGTATAGAACAATCAATTTTCAACAAAAACCAATGTATGAATAACGAAGGAAAATTTTCATGCTCATATTCGATAGTCTAGAATCCAGTACGTTCTCTCATGGATATAGTTTCTAAGAACAGATTTTTACAGTTGCTATGTCTTCAAAACAGATACTTGAATTTAATCAAACATAATGCGAACTGAATTAGTTAGCGAATATGTTAAAATATTGAAAAAAGTTGTTCTTCAATGAATGACCGATAAAATTTATAAATACTGCATTACAAAATAGTCTAAGACACATTTCAATCATTCTATTCAACACAAATAAGTAATGTTTGTATTTACGAACATCAAAGTGAGATTATTGTTCACTTCACTCAGAAGTATGATGCACGTCATCTTTATTAAAATTATTATAATAATAGATCTGTCAGGAAAGTTATTTGAAATATCATTAACTTGATTTTTATTCATCAAAAAAAAAAGATCAATGAGTAAGTTGGAAAAATAATGTGACAGCAGACAGTAGCTATCCCCATTAGCAAATTTTATAATATGCAGAATGAGTAGAAGCTATTTGTGACTAAATAATCAGACAAAAATTATTCATCTCCGGATGAATTCATAGCAGAGTTAACGATTACCTTATCTATAAAAATCTAAATTTTAACTGAAATAAAAATTTCAATAATCTTTTTTCATCGTATTTCAAATTCTATTGAATCATCTTTAAAATAAACGAGATATAACTTTCTATTAATTTCAAATTAAATGATGTTACGGTTGGTCAGTATATAATATTCAAAGAACAATCCTGTACATCTTCTGTTATTTCAAATGACAGTAAATTATTACCTATGTATAGAAATCTTTTCGTCTTGTTAATTGTTTGTATAACAAATAAAAGAGATTTGTTTTTTTTAAATATAAAATCTCTTCTTTTTTTTCTCTTTGAAGAAAAAGGACAGAAAAGACACAAAAAAAAAACAAAATAAATGCTAGAAACTTAGTTTTTGATTAAATATACACCATCCGTAATCAACGAGTCGGAAACTTTTGGAGAAATCGAAAAACGAGGAACAGACTGTTGATTAATTTGTATTGATGATCTTGTGATGGTAGCATCAAGTGAATTAACTTCATTAGAATGACATCTATTATAAGATGGTAGAGGTGGTGATAAAAATCCATCTTTCGTAGTACATGTATATCGATTACCATCATTAATATGGTCACAAGATAAAGAATGTTTAATCTGACTACGATGATGTTGTGGATACCAATGAATTGTTGATATATCTGATTGTATTACCGATGAAATGCGTTCGGTTTGATCATGATTATTAGAATTTTGTTGAAAACATAGACAACGAACTAATTTACATAGAACTATAAGAAAAATAATAACTACAATAGATAGAATAGCGATAGAAAGAACAATAGAACTATGTGTAATTGATGTTGGAGGTAACTCGGACGATTCTGAAAGATCAAATTCAGACACTAAGAAAGAAAAAAAGAATAATCAAGAATTACTTATATGATCTTACTTAGTTTGGTATCCTTTTCTTACAATTTTATGAGGAAAAGCATCAATAAATTCGTAGTATCTTGAATAAATGGAAGAAACAAGAACATAAATTTTGACTACTACTATGACTTTTCCTTCCTTTTTCTTTTCGTTACTATTATTATATTCTAACGAACATACAATGGGCGTGGTGCATCAGTTAGTTTTTTTTTCTTGTGCTATTCATTTATAATGATCAAAGAAAGTGACAAACCAAAAATAACAGAGAAAATTATAGCTATATGAGTTTCATACTCAATACTATTGCTTGACGAAAAACATCGTCAATATAAAATTGTAAAAAAACAAAAAGAAAACATTTCCATCAAATATATTTCATTATATTAAGAATGTTTTTTTTTTTTTTCTATTGATCACAATCGATTAAATAATAGAGATATTGACTGATAAATCCATGCTGACACAAATTCATTGTAATATTGAATTTCCCCATGTGAAACTGATCACTTATTGAATTCTGCTACATATGAAGATCTATTTGTTAAGAAAAAATATGTTTTCGAATTTGTGAGTTTCACTCATAACAAAATCGATAGATAAGATGTAACTTTGAATTATTTAAATATAACAATGATTAATAATATATAGAAGAATAACGATCGGAATAAAAGAAAATCTATTAATTAAAGATTTAAAAGTCGAAATCATATGCAAACAGATAAAGTTCAATGTATTATTTTATTCTTCTATGAAGTACTACGTTCTAGAACTTTTAATTTGACAGTATGGGTGTCAGACAATGTAATTTAATCTATATAAATAAGATTAATATTGTTAGTACACTGATGACATGAGATTTTGTAATGACATTACTGCGAGATCATTTTTTTTTACATTAGAAAGTATAGTAACATATCATCAAACTAACTTTTCTTGTTTTTGATCTTTGTATAAATTGATAATTAAAGATTTCTATTAAAATTGTAGCACCTTTCCAGTACTGATCTTTAATTAACAAAAAAAAAGAAAATAAATAGATTTTGAAACAATTGTCAATCTTGTCAAATATATTTGAAAAACAAGTGACAATTCTATTTTAAGATTGATTTCTTTACTCTTATCAATGTACCTTAGGTAAAATGATATGATTTTTTTATTCAATGTCCCTCTTTTTTTGTTAAATTTTTTTATTTGTCTCATTACTTCCTTAGACAATATGCTGTTTCCAGGAAAAGCAGATCATTTTTTTTTTGTTTATGCTGTTTTGATTGTGCATGTCAGAATTCTCGGAGGAGCTGCATGGTAACCGATTGCTCTTTCTTTTTTTTTTGAAGGGTGCGGGTATTGCCTCGATTGATTCCTCTTAATAATCGAAAATTGATTACTGATAGAAATGTATAATGATCATTTATTTCAGCATAACTCGATGCTGATATTACATAAAACAAATTACGTCCGAATATCAT